AAGAAAATGTCTTTCGTCAAAAGTTTGAATCAGTTTCTAGATGAGAGAAAGTCCCTAAACAGACCTTCTATTTTGTGGGCGATTTTAATATTGATACTACGCAGAACAACTCTCGTGATCGGAATAACAAAAATAGCATACCATCAAACGGCTTTGAGATCACTTATAACGAAACATGACGTAACAGAAAATAAACAAACTTGTAAGAATCATTGCTTTTATGAAAATTTTTCTGTCTGTTTCGAAAATACTTAATTATGAAAATGGAAGCGAGAAATATCACGATGAAATTTCTTTCCGCGGTACATCTTTCTTAAAATTCCACGTAAAGTATCTTGAGTTTTTAGAAAAAGTTGAAGTTTTGTTTGAATCACCCGACTTAAAACGGTTTCGCTTACAGAACCCAAATATCACATATTCAATTTGTTTCAGAGGTTGTATGTAAGATTTCTCGATGATTTTGCTCCTCATAAATGCACTGAAAACAACTAAGAACGCGGTCAGTTGGGTTTACAAAATAGACTCAAATTTTTTTAAAATAAGCGAAAAATAGTGCTCAGAAAAATAAGAAACAGTCAAAATAATGAGATTTTTTAAGAAAAAATTCGAAGTTTTAAGGGATCGCAAGTGAAATTAAACAATCAAAGAAAAACTATTATTGGAACAAAATTTTAAAATTGTATCGGAAACTCAATGCACAATTATTAGCAATCAATTTTTATCAGCGGCAATTGAGGCATGAGCAGAGTTAACTGAAAGGCTGAGATAAGCGCTTCTTCTGATGATTTTAACAGCTTCTTTTGAATTTGAAAAAAAAACTTTCGATACTATTGGTCGCAACAGATCATTATATAAGCTAGAGAGACATGTTTCTGGCATATTTGCTTAAACTGGTTCAAAACTCTACTACGTAATTGCATACAGCGTATGTCATGGTGTTAGTTCTGATTGGCTTGAAATCGAGTGACCCACAAGGATCAACCCAAAGACCTTTATTTTTAATCGTTTTATTTAATAATTTTGCCTTTGAACTGCAATCTGGGGAGGTAATCCTTTTCACAAACGATACAAACTTAACAGCAATAGCTTGTAGAGTTTAAAATGTGATAACAGATCTACTTGATTTGAATAATTCGCTAAATGCAAATAAATTGGCAGTCAATATATCTGAAACAATTTAAATACTATGTTTTTTAATCTCCGTATAATGCAGTCCATTTACGTCAAATGGTCATTTTGTAGTGACCGTTTGACGTATATAATTTCTGTTAATTGTTCTCCCTTTTTTCAAACTTCGATTTTTTGAGTGAAAAGAGGGATTTTTTAAAATTTTGTTTAATGACATAGTGACAGTTGATTAGTTTGGTCATGATGATGATTGTTTATGTGTTATTTTAACTGCTTGTCATATTGAGAAATTGTTAGAAACTCATTCAGAGAAAATATTTTTTGTTGTTATTCGAAGTCTTTTATGTATTAGAATGTGGGCTTCACTATCTCGCCATGTTTAAGCTTTTTTAACGTACTATTTTTGCATGTTTAACGAAAGATTTTCTAAATGTTTAAGCTATATCGTATATTTTGCGTGTTTAACGAAAGAATTTTTCAGTGTTTAAACTATTTGGTATATAGCGTATCAGTTTCTAGATGAGAGAAAGTCCCTAAACAGAGCTTCTATTTTGTGGGGCGATTTTAATATTGATACTACGCAGAACAACTCTCTTGATCGGAATGACACAAAAATAGCATACCATCAAACGGCTTTGAGATCACTTATAACGAAACATGACGTAACAGAAAATAAACAAACTTGTAAGGATCATTGCTTTTATCAATATTGTTCTGTCTGTTTCGAAAATACTTAATTATGAAAATGGAAGCGAGAAATATCTCGATGAAATTTCTTTCCGCGGTACATCTTTCTTAAAATTCCACGTAAAGTATCTTGAGTTTTTAGAAAAGCTCGAAATTTGTTTGAATCATCTGAATCATAACGGTTTCGCTTAAAGAACCCAAATCACACATGAAATTTGTTTCAGAGGTTGTTTGTAAGATTTCTCGATGATTTAGCTCCTCATAAATGCACTAAAAAACAATTAAGAACGCGGTCAGTTAGGTTTACAAATAGACTCAAAATTTTTTTAAATTAAGCGACAAGTAGTGCTCAGAAAAAGAAGAAACAGTAAAAAAAAATGAGATTTTTTAAGAAAAAATTCGAAGTTTTAAGGGATCGCAAGTGAAATTAAACAATCAAAGAAAAACTATTATTGGAACAAAATTTTAAAATTGTATCGGAAACTCAAGGCACACTTATTAGCAATCAATTTTTATCAGCGGCAGAAGCTTCAAGGCCAACAAGATCCCACCAACACAATCCTCTCTAACATTTGTGAAAACCCTACGGTTGCCGATATAGCCATTGATTTGAATACTTTTTTCACGACCACATGAAAAGCCATCAAGAAAGACATTCCAAATGCTGCCTGTCTAATTCTCGATTATAATCTGCCTTCAATGCTTCTTACTTAATTAAACACATTTGAGTTCATGAACATTATTAAGGCTTTAGATTACAAATATTCTTCTTGGGACTATTGCATAAGTAATGTAATAGTAAAAACTTCATCTAAGGTAATAGATCTCCATCTAGGCTTTATTATCAACCTTTTTTGTAATTAAAACCTGTTTACGAAAGAGCTTTGCAAAGCAAATGTTTTTCCTCTACAAAAAGAAGAAACAAAAATAGACTAAAACAATTATCGGCCAATCTCTTGTTTTTGTTTGGAGCAAAGTATGTGAACGAGCGATGTACTATCGCGTTTAATCCTTCTTTGAAAACATTTCACTGCTGTTTTCAAGTCAATAAGGTTTTCGTAGTAGGCAAAGCGCAATTGAGGCTTTTGCAGAGTTTACTGAAAGGCTGAGATTAGCGCTTCTTCTGATAGTTTTAACAGCTTCTTTTTGAATTTGAAAAAAAAACTTTCGATACTATTGGTCGCGACAGATCATTATATAAGCTAGAAAGATATTTTTCTGGCATATTTGTTTAAACTGGTTCAAAACTTGATCACGTAATTGCACACAGCGTATGTCATGGTGTTAGTTCTGATTGGCATGAAATCGAGTGTTCCACAAGGATCAACCGTAAGACCTTTATTTTTAATCGTTTTAATTACTAATTTTGCCTTTGAACTGCAAGTCTGGGGAGGTAATCCTTTTCACAAACGATACAAACTTAACAGCAATAGCTTGTAGAGTTTAAAACCTGATTAAAGATCTGCTTGATTTGATTAATTCGCTAAATACAAATAAATTGGCAGTCAATATATCTGAAACAATTTAAATAATATTTTTTTTTCTCCTTATAATGTAGTCCATTTACGTCAAATGGTCATTTTGTAGTGAACATGTAATTTCTGTTAATTGTTCTCCCTTTTTTCAAACTTCGGTTTTTTGAGTGAAAAGAGGGATTTTTTAAAATTTTGTTTAATGACATAGTGACAGTTGATTAGTTTGGTCATGATGATGATTGTTTATGTGTTATTTTAACTGCTTGTCATATTGAGAAATTGTTAGAAACTCATTCAGAGAAAATATTTTTTGTTGTTATTCGAAGTCTTTTATGTATTAGAATGCGGGCTTCACTATCTCGCCATGTTTAAGCCTTTTCAACGTACTATTTTTGCATGTTTAACGAAAGAATTTTTTTATGTTTAAGCTATATCGTATATTGCAATGGTTAATTTTTTTTTCGATTTTCCAGTTTTTTCACCAATTTTAAAATTAACAACCCAGTAGTGGAAAACTGTCAGGCTTCTCCAGGGGTTGCGGTTTTTGCCTCCAATTATGATTAGCCAATTTTTTTTACTTTTCCAGATAAGACAATTTTTGGGACTGTTTCAACAATTTTTTTGAGACTGACAGAAAAATTAAATTTAAAAAATTCACAAAATGTGATAATCTCAATCATGTAGTTGAGTACTGTCAGGAAAATCTCAGGGTTTTTCATTTTCGAGATATGACGTTTTTTTGGATTTTTTTTTAAATTTCAGAAAACTTAGATTTAAACAAAATCAAAAGATTTGAAAATCTCAACCCTGTAGCTGGGTGCTGTCAGAGTAATCTCATGGATTGCGAATTTTGCCTCCGAATATGACTGCTCAAATCCTTGTAGTTTTCGAGATATGACGTTTTAGTTTTTTTAAGAAAACTTGGCTTTTAAAAAATTCTAAAGAATTCCAATCTTAAAGTTGGCTACTATGAGGGTACACTCAGGAGTTCCAAAGTGCAAATCTTGCGTTCAAATGCGACTGCTCAAATAGTCTTCGTTTCCGAGAATCCAATCTTTTAGTTGGGGGATGTTAGAGTACTCTCAGGAGTTGCAAATTTTGCCTCCAAATATGACTACTCAAATCTTTGTAGTTTTCCAGGTGTGACGTTTTTTGTGATTTTTTTCAAAAAATTTTCAGAAAACTTAAATTTGAATTTTTTTTTCAAAATTGAAATTCTGAACCCTGTAGTTAGGGTTTGTACGAGAACTCTAATGAGTTGCAAATCTTGCGTCCAAATGCGACTGCTCAATTGCTGTTATTTCCGAGATACGACGTTTCTTAATTCATTGATACCGTTGTCCCTCCTCTCCAGGTGTTGTTCCATGGGTAATATTATTCAATTGTTTTGTTCAGGAGAAATAAATTCTTTCTTTCTTTTCTTGTGTCGGAGGAACAATAGCTGAAACAGTTTCAAGAATATCTAAATGCTTATTAATATTTCGTTACATTACAAAACTCTTTCATTAGATGATAATATATGCAGGAAACTAGCTGCCGTCAGTTTTCCTACCTCAATGACTCAAGAATTTTCTTATGATTTATGATACCAGAAATGCATTAAATGGAGTAGCACCATAGAAATTGTTTGCAATAATTGAGTGATTCCGGTAATGATTGACCAAATGATGAACGTCGTGGGTTGTCGTTTGATGAGTAGGTGTGTTTTAGGGTCATGGCTGCGAGACAGAGGATAATGAAGGGCAGACATGCAGCCAGACAATGCAAGATGCACTCCATCATGCAGATACTAGAGTTCCCTCCGGACTACATAGCTTCCGGTAAGCGATCATTCCCTACTTAAAACCTCTTCTGTGGTCGTTTTTTTGGCATTCTTTACGCAAGCAATCCTGTGTTAAATTCACCATTCAGATTTGTTTGCCATGGTTACTCGCTATTGTCATTGCCCTGTTTTTGTGCACATTGTTTGAATTGTTATTTATGCAGCCTTGTAGTTTAATGGCATGCGCGTTTTTCGCTTTCCGTGCTGCTTGTATTTGAGTTTCAGATATTGCTTGTGACTGGCGACTTATAGTGGGTGTTTTAGAGTCGATGAACGTAGTTCAGACGCTTTTAAGGGTCGCGATGGTTTCTTTTTTTTGTTTTTTTTTCAGGAAAAGTCTTAAAATGCTCGGCTAGCAAAAGATGTGCATTCATACTTATAAATGCACATATTAATGCCCTTAGGTTTGTACATTTTTTGAATTCAATTCAAATTCATTGGCTAGAAGGTAGGCAAAATGCACCCTCCAATGATGAAAGTTGAAATGGCGCAAAACAGCATGATCGATTTCTAGTTCCGAAAGTGTTATTTAATTTTTAAGAGTAATGAACGCGGTGAGGATCTCTTATATCTACTGCGCGACATTGAAAACACAACGGCAAAATTTCGATAAGCCAAAAAAAAACCTTTCGAAGTGATTTTAAAATCCATATGCTTGATCTGATAGATAGCAACGGAATTTGACGAATTGTCTGGAACTTAAATTTTAAAAAGTCTTAGGCAAACAGAACGTAAAAAATGGCTTATGTTATGCTGATTCATTTCATGGAACTAACTTTATTGCTCTCAGTTTTTCACATTACTGCAAACTTTTGCCTTTTTAAGGTCAATAAACTGAAATAGAGTTGAAGGATACGTCATAAACATACCTTTTTTGGATCAAACTAGTGTTTCCTGGTTAATTTTAGGCTAAATTTTCTCAAGTTAACAAGGGAAATCACTGAGAAGAGAATCGAATGTAAAGTAGGTGCTGAAATGTGATCAAATACACTTCAAAATCTTAAGTTTGTAAGATTTCAAATTTTCTTCAACCAGGTTGATGATGCGATTTCAATTTTTTTTTTCAGGAAAAAGTCTTAAATTTGTTCATGTTCAATTTTGGTTTTGTCCGCTTTGACTTTTGATTTTGTTTTAAGTTCACTTCATTTCCTTTGTTAAAAGGAAAACAAACTCGCTATCGAACAGCAAAAATTTAAAGACCACGAAAAACGTGATCGACTTCTTATTTCGAAAATGGAATTTAAATATCAGATTACCCAGCGAAATGAAACTTGTACCTATTGATATAAATTTCTTAAGTTGGGTTAATTTTATCAATTTGTTCTTAAAATTAAGGTCATATATTTTTCAAAAAAAAGTCAGTGTTTTTTCTGTTTTCTTGTGTTTAATGACTCTTTTTTAAACTGTCTGTTGTCTATGTTATGTTTATTGTCTGATAAGTTGGGTTATGTTTGGGATGTTTTTCGTACGGTTATGGCTATTTCATGGTTCTATTACTTAAAGTTGAAGGAAAGCACTCATTTCATTATGGTTTCTGGGTATAATTAAATGAAGTTGGGCCATGATTTTCAGCGCAATAAACGACTCGTGAGTTGACGACTAGCACTTCTGATGTCATTTTGTGCACTACTAACAACTACTAGAGCTTAAGGGTGCTATGTAAATAAGACAGCAATAAATAATCACATAAAAATTTAATAGGATATGACGTTGAATAAAGTAGGTTGAAGTTCAACCTCAATTTTTTTTCATCTTCAGATTTTGAGAGCTGAGAGTAGCTCAAATCAAAATCTAGCATCTTGATGCCGGAAAAATTAAATTTTGGCCCGTCTTTTTCAGGGCTGGGAATTTATTCAATATTGTTATTTAACATTCAATTTAACTTATAATGTTGTTTATGTTTTCTAACAGTTGATGCTAACTATTTCGTAGAAATATGGGTATTTCTTGGGAAAACATTCCGCATATAACTGTTTTTCAGTTTGAATATCCTTCCTCTTGTGGGGTGGGGGATTATATTGCTTTTATTGGTGCTGAATTTTTTCAATTCTGGATTTTTGGTTTATTTTTGGAATTCTTCAACGTGATGTATTCACGTATGGGATTCTCAGAGGCAAACTTGGCGGCGAGAAAGCTGGAAAACAGGCATTTCTCTTCAAAAAACTTAATGTTTCTTAATGTGTTGAATTATTTAACAATAGTTAATTGTTAGTGTGTTATTTTCAAAAATAACACACAATTTGCCAACCCTGGTCTTTTTGATCTGCGGTCTTATGATTGCAACAAGGTTATAACTATTTGATATCTGTTGTCTTATTTTCTCACAGGCTCCTAGCTAACATTTGCATCATCTCGCTAATTTTTTACGTTTTATTTTCTGTTTCAAATTGTCCGCGTTGACTGTCTGAACTGGTACTGATATCTTTGCAAGAATTTTAAAATAATCGGCTCTTTTTCCTTTTCCCCCCACCTCACACAGCCATCAAATTTATGGTGTAATGAGTGGTTTTACAAGGTAAATTATGAACACCAAATAAGTTTGGCGCAGCCTATCTAGTCCGCATGTCATATTTAATAGCGATCGGACCATGTGAACAGTAACTTAACTAGTAAAAAAAATGCAGGTGGAGGGAAAGGAAAAAGAGCCAAAAAATCTAGTACTCCTAGCAATAGCAATTATCAGGGGCGGATTATGAAAATATGGCCAAAACAGGGACTTTTTAGTGATATGGGAGATCTCGAAAAATCAATTTGGTCGACCTAAAAAAAGGTCGATAAAATTCTAGATCCGCCCCTTGTAATTATACTATCTCGACTAATAGACTCTTGAATTAACTATGTCTGATGATTACTCTAAGTGAAATTTTTTGTTTACATTTTTTTGTTTTTAATTTATAAAGAAGGTTGTGTGAATTACGTTAAAAAATTAAGTTTTCCAACAAATTTTGCTCAAATTGTGTAGCTGCGAACGGTGGACGTTATCGAATTGGCTATCACTTCGTCAATAATTTGGTGGTTCCATACCTACCAAAAAACGTGATCGATGCTTCTGTGTGATGCGACAGAGTAGAAAATTGATTGCAAAAGCATATGGGCATAGTTCCTAATTGCATCACAGCGGTGGTTCTCCGTAACGATCTGAACTGTTGCTGAGCTGTTAATTTAGATTAATTATTTTAAGACTTTCGGCGGGTTCCAATTCGTACTCGGGGAGTTCCAATTCGTACAGAAAATACTTGGAAAGCTAGTTGATCAGTTGCGTTTTTATAGAATATTTCCGTATTTTTAAATTTCCAATTGAGGTAAAAATTACGAAAAATGCAACCAGCTGTATATATTTTTGAAAAAATATGAGTAAGACTTGTAATACAATCGGCATTACGAGTGAACAGGACATTTAGCCAAAAAAAAAAGAAATTCAAAGCTAAATTGCTTTGTTTTCAGGCGGATCTTCAAGTGCAATGTCTAGCGTATCGTACGCATATCATCACCCGACCCCAGCAGTACACCATGGGGGGAAAGTTCAACCATCTATGAGTATTAATCACCACCATCATCATCCAAATCTATTGACAACACCAGGCAGCACCAGCAGTGGGGAGAGTTCGACTAAGTCAACTGTGTCACACAGGAGGACGAAGAAGGCATCTAGAAACACTAGTTCTAAACATGCAATGGCCGAGTCAGAAAGCAGTGCACTAAATCATGGTTCAAATCATGGTCAGGTGAATATAAAAGATATTCGCAAAGGCTGTATCTGCAGTGCCTAGTTTTTTTAATGGGTCTAACTCAACTGATAGCTCAAATATTTGTTTGGAATATACCACCGAAAAAGTGTGGATCTCCGAAATATTAGAGCTGGTTTTGCATAGAATTGGCAGTTTAATATCATGTATTCTCCAATTCATCATTGACTTATGTTTGGACTGTGTTTCATCATTGACTAATGTAAGCGTCAATGGTACAGCTGTGTAGAGTAGTCGACTTGAAAAATTGAATGTCGGAGGACAAAATCGTTTCCAGTAGTGGTCGTTTTTTTGTCAAAACCACTTTTTCTTGTTTATTTTTTTTTTATTTTTTTCTCTATGGCTATTTTAAGCTTTCGCTCATTTGCGAAGCACAGCTTCGCTTCTGTGTATAAAATTGAGTAGCTGGTTCAAGTGCAAACAAACAGCACATAGTATTCTGACCACAACTATTAAAAAAACGGGCTCTTTTCCAGTTCCCCCCCCCTTTCAAAAAACCGAGTTTTATGTTTGTTTTACGTGTTATTACAGCTAAATGCGTGATGTTACGCTGTTAAATATGAAGAACAAATCTGTTCACAGTTGTCGATTTGTTCACCACGCCAAATATCATTGCCTTATGACAACGTTAATTAAGCTTTTCGAAATTGAATTTGAAAAGGGGGGGGGGGGAACTGGAAAAGAGCCAAAAAACGAAACCTGCGGCTTCATGTCGTTCATTTTCTAGGTTTAGTTGACCTTTTTTTGAATTTCATTTAATTCAGACGAATTATTCACAAGGGGAAGGACCAACATACAAACAGCTCTTTACAAACTGTAAGGGGAAGGACCAACATACAACTGTACAGACCAACATACAAACTTATATTGTCTCAGAATCTTTTTAATAATTATTTTTTTTGCCATAATTTTTCCCAAAAGTCCATGATTAGGTTCCTTTCGCCTTAGGAGAATTTGAAAAGATCCATACGCTGATTTTTTTTTTTCAATTTTGAGTTGTTCGAAAAGTTTGATACTTTTGATAGTGAAAATTTGTTAAGAAAAAATAATTTTTTATCTGGTTTTGTATTAAGAGCAATTCCAATTTCCTTTATTAGTTTTATTACGCTTGCGATTAGCAAGCGTTATTAAATCAGAATATAGTTTTTTTTTTGGGGGGGGGTTAATTACTAGTTAAGCAAAATCAGTTGGAATGTATGTTACGAAAGAATTCCCAGAATCCGTTTTTGAGCATGTCTTCATTATAAATGGCCGTTTCAAATTTTTGTTGTTGCTTTTACAACAATTGCTCTTTTGTTGCTTTTTATTAAGGAAATTGGAATTGATAATTCTTTTCGTTTTTTCTTTTTAGTTTTCTTCGTTTTAAATGGTTTTGGCTGATGATATATATGTTTATTTGCCTCGTAAGTCGTCTTTGAAGGGCCGAAAAATTTTTAATTGCATTTGTGCTCTTGAAGGGGTTGTGAAAAACGGGAATTTAAGATTTTTTTTATCTCAAGTTTTCGAACCTGGGCAGGGACGGATGTTTTTAATAAACTTTTCGTATACTAGCTAAAATGCGTCCGCTCTATAAAGTGAGACATGTTAGTTGGTAGTTTTCCTTTTTTTTCAAATTGACTGCTAATGCGTCATAATTGGCGTGCGTCAATTAGCAATTATGTAGTCTCAAACTTTTACGCATTCAGTTTTTCCCAGTAGCGTTATCTGTCATAGTGTTGCTTGTGTATGCGAAGTGCAACTTCGCTTCTATTGAAATTCGAACAATGAAGTTAATGTTTTTTTTCTCACATTGACTGCTATAGTTTGACTTTTTGACACTTTTAAATCTACTTGTCGGCGTTTTTTTTGCTTGTTTTGCCGTAGTACAGCTTCGCCTCTGTGTTGTTAATTTGGACCGGATAAGAAAAATGAACTGTTTGTTTTTATTCAGAGTGCAAGAGTGAGTGGCCACCACCAGGTGAGTAGCAGTAGTCAGTTGTCCGTGGTGAATGAGTCACCTGTGATTGGTGGGAGGAGGAGAGAGAAAGACAGACAGAGGGAGAGGAACAGGGAAGTAGTGACGAAGGCAGTGGAGACAGGGACGAGCAGCGACAAAAATGAAGAGCACGAGGTCAGACATGTCTGCATGGATTAATGATTTGAACTTATTTGGAAAATCTTATTGCTTATAGTCATTAGCAGCGGCCGTGCTTATTTTTCTGGAGGGGCTTTGAAGTGTCTGCGCTGATTTTAATTGAAGATAAGCTAGCTTCATCATACACAGCGTACCTACAAAAAAGGTTGATCAAGAGTGAATGATTTTTGTGAAGGCACATTTAAAGGTCGTGATGATTTTTTAAATTCTTTTAGGAAAACGTTCACGCTCAAATTATATTTTCCCTGAATTGATTTTTGATTTTCTTAGTTCAGTTCATTCTTTGTTAAGAGTCGATGAAAGTAGTTCAGATTCTTATATAGGTTGTGATGATTTTTTTTCAGGAAGTCTTGAATTTTTTTAGGGTCAAATTTGATTTTTCGCAATTTCTCTTCTGATTTCTTTTTAAGTTCAATTCATTTACTTTGTTTACGCTAGTGATCAGCGTAGTGTGTTATTATGAACATTCTTTTTTTTCTAACGTAACTCGCAAATAAAAGTGTTTATTACTAGTGTTCACTTATTTGGAAATTTCACTGTCAGTGGAAATGGCCTATCATCTGTTCGCTGCTTTTTTTGTGGCTAGTGTTTGGGATTAATGAAGCGTCCGTGGCTGAGTGGTTAGTGTGTGATACTCATAAGATTGACTAATACTAATTCTAATCTCTTTTTACTAATTCGAGGCGTATTTCTAATTTTTCTTGCACTTTTTATACAATAAATTATTTCAAAAAATGGGGGAAAAGATAGTTGGATAAAAATGAGGGAATAAAAACAAATCAAGTTTTTCCACTTGATTTGTTCAACTGTTTCTTAACTTACATGTTGCTTATGTTTAGAGAGCATCATCAGGACATTCGAGTTTTGTGAATCTAGAAGGCGACACGAATTCAAGCGGCAGAAACAACCCACAGACGTCAAACCCAATGGCATTCTCCAATGAAAACCCAGCAGCAGCAGGAAATTACCCGGCTGCCTTAAAACACAATGGAGAACAGGAGGAAGTGGAAGTTGCAGTGTTCGATGGAAGTAAGTCAAACTTCCCCTCCAATTGGATGTCAGCTCATGCAAATGAAAGTGAAAGGTGGCACGACCATAATGTAGCACCATCTGAAAAGCAGGCAAAGGTAAATGAGCTAGCTAATGCAGAGATATATATTGATATTGATTCAACCAAGATTCAACTGCAGAAAGCGTTTTAATCATGATTTTTCAAAGCTTTCTTGGTTTTCCTTAACTGTCAGTTAGCCCAGTACTATTAGGAATAATGATTGTAGTGAAGACTCTTATATAGGTCTTGGTGATTTTTTTTCAGGAAAAAATTGCTTTAATAACTACAGATAAGCATTCATACATTGATGCATTTTGAAGGCACTTAGGTGTATCTGCACTTTTAGAGTTCAATTGAAATACATCTGCTGAAAGTTACATAAATAGCACTCTCCAATACGAACGTGGAAATAGCGCGAAAAATTGTAAACGATTTCTAGTTTCGAAAGTGGCATTTAATTTAAAGATTTACAGCGGAATAAAAACTTACCTGTTGATACAGTTTTCTCAAGTTGGGTTAATGTTATCAAAAAAGCGCCAGTCATAAACCCTTCTAGAAATTAAAAGAGCTTATATGGCATCTTTTTTTTTCTTCGAAATTCGAAAGTTGAGATTTTTTCAAGAAATCAGTGTTTTTTTTGTTTACTTGCGTTCATTACTCTTTTCCAATATTCGATTGACTAGGTTTACACTGCGAGAGTTAGTGTATTAGTACTTACCTTCTTTTTTCTAACCTAACTCGCCAAAAATGGTCATTAAAACTGTTCACTTATTTGGTGACTCTTTCGCTATAATCACGATCTGAAGCATTGGAAATTTCATACCGACAGTGGTTGACTGGTTGGTACGCGAGACTCAATATCTCTAGGTCGCAGATGGAATGCGAGACGTAGCCGTATTTTTTTTCCTAAAAAAATGGTTTATTTCTACTTTATTTTTGCACTTGGTTTTTGAGCTGATACTTAAGAGCTGATTTTGGCATGTTCTCGCTATTATTTGCGAAGCGCAGCATCGCGTCTGTGTAAAAATTAGTTTTAATTTCCAACATAGTACCGGTAGAGTTCAAGTGTTGGATTTAAAAGTTAAATATTTTTACTTTCCAGAGTTGCTTTTCCGTTTAATTTTGTTTTCAACCTTGAGTTTAAATGAGCTGAGCAAGATACTACTTCATTTAATTTAAAGTATATACTGTCTTGGGTGTTTGTTACACAAAATAAAAATTTAGTTACAGCTTGTTAAAACTACAGTGAAAATGTTTAAATCATCTGCAGTTGAAATCGAAAGAATCGAATTACGAGAATTCTTAAAAGCTGACGCAAAAAAATTTATACATAAGAGTGATTAAAAAACAAAGGTGATAATGTGATAATTATGAGCTCTTGAAATCATACAGGTCTTTCGGTAAATTGTCCCCAGTTTCATCAAAATTCCATCACGTTTTAGTCTTCGTTACTGAGTGTGGTCTGTAATATCTTTGTAACATAGTGCTACACACCTACGTAAGGTGATTCACCATTATTAACCATAATTGGTTTAGCTACATATTAGTATGATTAAATGTCAATGAACAATTGTATAATAACAATGTTTTAAATTGTATTTGCTCAGAAAACAATATATATAGCTCTAGTAATTAGAGCAGTAGAGAATCTGAGAGAACCAAAGCCAGCCAGCACTGAATAAACTGATAAATACTAGCTTTTTAAAAAGGATAGTCCTGACTATCAAGAAGAGGTAGTCCTCACAAAGCGCATCCCGAGTCGAAGTTACTGACAGGCAATCCAAGACATCCACCCATCGATAACAATACGTCTAGAATAATAATTACACATAAACTACAATAGCCAGTGATGGTTTGTTTTATGGTGACCGATAGTGGGTGATGTTACCATCCGTTGTTGAAGAGCTGAAGGACGCGAACTAAGTGTACACAACACCCATCCATCACAAGACGACTTCCAGAGACATCACGGCAGTATCTTGCGAAAAAGTGACATAAATAAAGACCGACTACAGCGTGCCTAATGGCAATGGTGAGTGTTCTTGTGGATCAGGAAGTGAGCCTACCACAAGGGGAAAGGCCAAATTACCAGCAAAAGCAATCATGGCAGCAAAACAACTGAAAAGATTGATCTCGAGAAGGAAGTGCGAGAGAGCACCCTACAACCGGGGGACCTTCACCAGTTCCCCTTTCAGAAGACCAAGTCAAAGGGTCACAGGGCCCTCTGTACAGGAGCAGAAAGCCAAGATTGCATACTGGAACTGCAGAAGTGCATGTCAGAATGATTCCTTGGATACCCTGACTAAGGTGATGATAGAAAGGAAGATAAACCTGGTCGCATTAAATGAAACTCACCACAGAGCATCAGATACGCGCATCAGATACGCGCAAGTGCTGTGATAATTTCTTATTTGCCCACAGTGGGTGGAAGAAATGCGAAACGATCAGAAAAGGGTGTTGGGGTTTCGTTGGACTCCGCAGTCAAATGTGTCAAGTGTACAGCTCATTCACCAAGAAATGCTGTAGGCTGGTTTGAAGTCTGCGGGACAAAGTTGAAACTTGTTTCAACTTATGCCCCAACCGAAAAGGCGAATGAAAAAGAGTTTCTCGAGTACCTAGAAGAGCTGTCAATGACACTCACAGCAAAAGTCGACTGCAAGGACAACTATTTGCTCATAGTTCTAAGGGTCTTTAAAGCAGCACTTGGCAGAGAAAGAAGCGCAATCTTGGAAAGAACAGTCGGATCGTTTACGATAGCCGATGAGACCAGAAAAAATGGAATGCTGCTCAATGAATGGTGCCTGGAAAACAACTTACGGGTTGAGAACACCTTTTTTCGAAACCGAAGCTAAGAGCTTATCCATGGAGGCATCCAAGAACCGGTCATTTGTCTGAAAGATTTTGCCCTTGTGTGCGCAAAAAAGTTCATGGAGACACAGCCTTTACTCGTATCATGCGATGCTGGTATTGATCGGAAGAGAAATTGTGAGGAAGAGCAAAAGAAAGGAGAAGAGGGTCAGGAAAAAGGAGAAGTCGATCAGGAGAAAATCTCAAACTAGAAAAAGTCAGAAATCGGTTGAACAAGGAGCTTTCATTAATGGCAAAGCCAGAAGACCTAACTCAGCTTCTGCAACGACTGATTAAAGAACAGTCACTACAGCAAGGTTTTTCCGTCAAATCAGACTGTTGGGCAGCTCACCTGACAATAGCGTAAAAGGAAAAGATCTCTGAAAGGAAGAGTATCTTCAAAACGTTTTTGGCGCAGAGAAGCCCTGAACTGAAAGAAAGGCTCGTAAAACGCATCACGATTGAGTGCAAGGAAAGGGCAGTAGAAGCAGATCTTCATCTATTTGAAAATTTGTCTTCAGAAAACTCTGTAAAAGAAGCATTTAGAGTTTTCAAAGAAACTCTTGGAACCTAATGCTTGACTTGGTTTGATCGAGCCCAGATAACTTCCTGGCCAAGCAACATGCAATTTCAATTGCATTATGAAATGCTCTTCAAATAAAAAATGTCATGGACGCAGACCTCAAGGATACTAGAGGAAGCACCAGACAAGTTGCTCAACACCCCAAGTAGGGCAGAAATCAAGCTCTGAAGCAAATCACTCCTCAGGAAAGGCACCAGAACAGTAAAATCACGGCTGATCTACTCAAAGCCTTGCAGGACCAAGTAGTCCCAGCCATCACGGCAAGCTTTGAAAAGATTTGGGAAGGAACAACAGAGATTCCAAAAGCATAACGAGATGCCAAAGCAAACAGCTTTTTCAAGAAGGTCAACCATCAAACTACCAATCGATTTTTCTTCTTGATGTTGCAGGGAAAGAACTGAGTAAAGTACTAAAAAAATCGAATCGAGAGAAGCACGGACCAACCACTAGACAACCTAGTTCGTGTTCTGAAGTGGCAGAAGCACGGTGGAGGCAAATGGGACTCTTCGAAGAAAGATCCAACAGGCACCTGAAGCGAAGAAAAAACTGACACTGATCTTTATAGATCTTGTAAAGGTCTTCGCTTCGATGGACAGGACAGCACTGTTCACAGCCCTAAGAAGTCGCAAATTGGGCAACCCTCTTGAGTCGCATCATTTTGCAACTGCATGAGCAGGTTGAAATTGTATTAGACACGCAGAACAAGTTCGTGCTTGAGAGAGGAGTGAGACAGGGGTGCGTAATCGGCCCCACTTTCTTCAATCTAGTTTTTGACGAAGTGTGCAAGAAATGTGTGAAAAGAGTCTCAGAGATCGGTCACCTTGCATATGCCGATGATTTAGTGATAATGTCCGACACAATTGAAGAGGCACAAGAAAGTCTTGATGCTCTGAGTCAGGAAGTCAAAAATGCAGGGATAGAAATATCATTAAGTAAAACCGAGATAGTTGTAGTGAATGGAGAAGGATCAAATGATATCTATCTTAATGGTGAAAAAGTTAAGGAAGTAAATTCCTTTGTATACCTAGGCAGCTCGCTAAATGCGGAAGCAGACCTTGGCGAGGCAATTGCAAACAATTGCAGAAAAGCCAGAACAGCAATTGTGAGATTGAGGCCAGCTCTAGTAAGTGGCTCAATCAGGATGAGAACGAAAGTGCGGTTAGTGGAGACTTTTTTTAAAGCGAACACTACAGTCTTTAAACAGCAGTCATCAAAAATGTCGACTTTGACAAACTGAATGCAATTCTGAACAAGGCCAGGAGAATGATCCTCAAGTTGGACAGCAAGAAGACATGCACTAATGTTTAAATTGCAGAGAAAGTTCAGTTGAAAAGCATTGAAGTAGAAATGGCTCTACGAAGGGCAAACCTGTGGGTTTCACTCAACAGGCTTCAAGTAGAAGCAGTAACATCACTCACTCAAAAAAAGCAAGTTGTACAGTAAAGACTGGATTAGGGCATTAAATCTGGACGTCGAAAGGCTAGGGGGTGCTGGATAAAGAGAAATGGCTGCAAGACCCAAAACTACTCGAGTATAATCAGGAAGTGGATTAGTCAGCTCAGAGAATGTTCGGCTCCTGTCCTCAAATAGTCGATTGTGAATTTGGGAATTGCAGCAGAAAAACTGCTGAAAGAAAGGAGATGCAG